CTCACTTAGCAATGATTAATTAAGCTCGCAGCGCACGCCTAATGGCCGAACCCATCCTCTTGCCCCTCCCACCGCCTAATGTCGCATTGGCCATTGACCTTGGCGAAGCCTTTTGTACCCTGCACTACCAGTCGAAGCGCGAACTGGTCTATTAGGGAATAAGGAAAGAAATGTAACAGGCAGGCAATTAGATAATCGGATGAGTCGTCCATTCCTTTTCATATTAATAAGAGCAATATAGAATACTAGGAATAAATAGCCAAAGTTAAATCAGAGCAACAAGGAAAATCAGTTAAATCAGTTTATTGACGAATGGAAGGCTTCCATCATACAGTTTGCTCACAAATTCGTACAATTTTACACAGCAGGCATACAGGCTTCATGTTAAAGCCCCACACACTTTAGTATTTATTAAAGACTTAGTTAAATATTATCTGCTAGCATTAGTAGACTTTTTGTATAAGTACTTGTATATCAACTTAACTAAAAATGCCAATTTATATGCGAATAAATGTTTAATGCGGCAAATTTAAGTTCGTTCTTTAGGACCGACATCAGCAATATCATTCACTATCTGATGTAAAGCAGGGTATTCAATGGCGCGGCACTCCTCATTTCAGCGTTCCTTCTTATTCTTTATAATTGTTGGAGCATTGTGAAGGACGACGTCTGCTATTTGGTATTTGGTCTTGAACTGCGACTAATTGGCGGTGCTTTGGTTTCATTTTATTTCGTTTTCCGTTTGCTTTATGGAAAATGTGAAATGAAAAATGGGCCCGACTGTGAGGAATGTTAAGCGCAAAATGAAATGGATGGATGAACGTGTAAAGCGCATAAAAAGTATGTAACTATGAATGACTTGGGCTGGACAAAGGAAATGAAAATGGAAATGCAAACAGCAGGCATTTTTTTTATTTTTAGGTTCCACCACAGGAAGCACAGGAGATGATGGAGACCAGCTATAAAATAACTTGCATGCTCGGCAATTTATGATGTTGACGTACGAGTATTTGGATTGCTGATCATTTGATAGCCTCGTATTTATCATCAATGTGCCTCCACTAATTTTTTACATGAACATCGTAGTAAATCAAATCAAATAAATAGTTCCAGCTTGTAATTTGTCTAAATAACACGATGAAATGAAAATAGTATATTTAACAAATTGAATAAATCTTTTCACTGTTTTAATTATTCGTTAAACTATTCATTATTCATATTCATCAGATAATGTTATAAATAAATGGTTTTTGATGAAACAAGTTAGTTACTTAAGTAACAATCAGTGCGGCAATCAAAAGGTGGGCGGTCCTTGTTGTCTGTTCTCAAATTAACAAATCACCTCAATAAATTGTATTTAACGATGGCTCAGAGCTGGCTTTTGAGATTTAAGCTAGGCACTCATTTTGTCTTTAATATATAATACGTGTATTACCATTTAATTGCCTCAATGGGTCTGTGACACAGTTACCTTATCTGCATTATACTTGTTGTATAATCATAAGCTTTTTTATGATTCCAAATATGCGAAATTATGTTGGCGAAATAATTGCAAAATAAGCGAAACGAAATTGTTCAATTTAAAAGATGTGCACAAATGTTTATTTTGCATAGGTAGCGATCGCCGAGATTTACAAAGTTTATGCTGGTAGACGGAAAGCTAAGCTTCTCCGTACCAGATGCGATAACGAAAAACGAACTTGACTTGCAGAGTTAGCGACAATAACTAGTACATATGTGGCGGCTGCGCAGCAGCCTATGCAAATTTATGGCAACAAAAGGAAACGTTAAGTGCTCGGCTTGCTATGCAAAGCAAGCGACAAGAAAACGAGCACTTTGCATTGAGTTATTTACGTTACTTATTAACTATGATGTGCTGCTGGTTTTGGCTGTTTTTGGCCGGATGACCAAACATACTCCCCCTGTTGAAGAACCAGGGTCTTCAACAACATCTTGTTTCGGCAGCGGGCATAATTTGCGAACGGCTCGCCGAATGGTTCCAGTGGAAGTCCTCAATTCTGCAACTCTCGACACGCCATCTGCGCCGCTGATGAGGATGACCACCCTTGCTAATGGCCATTTGAGGGGCGGCAAATTCTCGTCCTTGACCAGAACGACATCATCAATGGAGAGTCCAGGCTGCGACACTCGCCATTTTGAGCGCTGTTGAAGAAGCGTCAAGTATTCTTCACGCCAGCGAGCCCAAAATATCTGCTGGTAGTACGTCACGCGCTGCCATCGATCCAGCCGATTGAAATTGAGCTTCGTCAGATCAGGCTCAACGTACGTTGACAGCGGAGCAGCACCAAGAAAATGAGCTGGAGTCAAGACATCGAGATCTGCTGGATGTTCTGAAAGGGATAACGATGGGCGAGAATTAATAATTGCCCCGATATGGCATACAAGCGTGCGCAGTTCATCAAATTCGAGCAGCGAATTATTAAAATGCAATAAACTGTGATGTTTGGCACCACAGGTTCTGCACGATCCAGAATTGCAAGTTCTCATTCTGTGTCCCTTTCTAAGACAATTTATACACAGAGAGAGGCGTTTCGCTTCCTTTAAACGAAGTACAGGCGACAAATTACCAAAAAGTGGGCAACTGTATATTTCGTGTGCATTTATGTCACAAAACAGACAACCATTTGCGGATGGGTTAGTGGCGACAAACGAGCGTTTGGTGTTAGTGTTTTTGTTCTTTCCCACCTGATAATTCGACGAATATGATGCCATTGCATGCTCGATGTTTTCCAATTTTTGGCACCTGCTATCCAAGAACGTCGCAAATTGCTCCCACGACGGTATAACGTTTAATGGGGCGGCTTCCTCCCACTTTGCCTGCGTCGCAGCATCCACCTTGCCCAAAATTGTCTGAACGACGATGCTGCCAGCTACATCTTGCATATTGCCCAAACTCAACAGTGCACGCATATTTGCGTTGACTTTGTCGGACAACTCTCGCAGCTTGCTTGTAGTTTCAGCCTTTTTAATGCCCAAAATCTCGGAGATGTGTGCCTGGAAAATAAGACGCTTATTGTTAAACCGCTTGTCGAGTAGGTCTAACGCCACTGAATAATTTGCACCACTTATCTCAAGCGCACGAATCGTGCCCAACGCAGATCCTCTTAAGCTTGACCTCAAATGCTGCAACTTTTCCACATCGGAGAGATCTGGATCCTTGGCGATCACTGATGTGAACATCGAAGCGAAATCTGCATATTCAGTATATCCACCACTGAATGTAGGCAACTTAAGCTCAGGCAAACGAGACCGAGTTATCACAATGGTAGACTGATCATCTTGCCGAAGCGTCGAACACGGCGGCGCGCCAGATTGCATCCTTTGTATTGCATTTAGCAGGCGGCCCTCCAAGCAGACCACCAGCTCAGCAAAGTTGCAGCGCAAACTGCTGCCAATCTCGTCAAAGTCCAGCTCCTCTAATTTGTCATGCACCAAATTAAAAGAGGCCTGAATACTTTGCAGCATTTCCACACGTTTTCGCAGCTCACTTATCAATTTAAGTAAACATTTAATTATTATTTAAAGTTCTCGTTAAGCCAAGCCAATCTATGTGTGTTACAGATAACAATTTATGGGCAAAATATGAAATTTCCAATTTAAATATACTCTTCAATTAATTATATGTTTCTTAGGAAAAGTTTTTTCAGCTCAATCGTTACTTAGAACACTCTGTGATACTTAACCCTAGCGTCTAAAATATATATACCCTTTGGACACTTCTCCATCAAGCGCCTTAGAAGTCTTAACCGCCACGCATCAAAGCAGGGTTTAGTCGCAATTAAAAATAAATAATTTAAACATTTAAGTAGTATGTGTTCCTTGATTAAAGTTTGCCAAAACTATTTGTAAGTATTTTGCTTTCGAGAAATCCCAGAGTGGGATTGGAAGAAGATGACGTTCTTCTATCCATAGCCATAGCATCAATATTGATTTCTGCACAACCTGCGCACATAATTCGATTCAATTGAACTTCTTTTTATTACAGCTCTAGCAGATTTTGTTTATTTATTCGATTTACAATTTGCCGCCACATGGGACGCAGAACACAAGCACAAGCACAGGAGAACGGTGAGGAGAAGGCAACGGTAAAGGCAAAAGGGAAGCCAAAGACAAGGCAATGCAAGGAGAGCAGCAGATGCAGGACGCCAAGGTGCGCCCAACAATTAACTTTGTTTCTCGCTTACATTTTCACGCCATTTTGAAGTTTGCTTTGCCGCCATCGTCGTCGTCGTCAGCGTCGGCGTCGGCGTCGGCGTCGTCGTCATCCTCGTTGTTACTGCTGCTGTGAATTTTTTGCTTGATTTTTTGTATTTTTTTGCTTTCTTTGCATTTTTGTGTTTTCATTTATTTGCCATTTTGTGTGCGTCCTCGCCTCGAGCGCCTCGAGCGCCGCCGTGTTGTTCGCTTTTTGTTTGCCAACCATCTTGTTTGTTGTTGCTGTGCACTTGCAGACTCCTGGCTGGTGGCTGGTGGCTGGTGGCTGCTAGTTGCTGGCTCGGCATCCTGTCGTGTCGTGTCGTTTGAGTTGCGGGCGACGGACTTAGCACCTGTTTTATGGACTTCTTCATCAACGCGCTTGGCGCAAAAGTTGCGCGCCAAGAAACGAAGTTAGCGCTCAAGTCTGTACTGCCCCTAACCCAAAAGTCTAGGAAAGTTGGAGCTGCCAGTTTTTACTTGATAGTGGCTGCAGGCACATGGGGGACAGTGCAGTGGTGTGGCAATGAATGGCTGCAGATGGAGGCGTGGCAGCCTAATTGAGTTATTTGCGCAGCTTAGCTTCGAATTAAGCTAGTAGTTGGATTTCCCTCTCCCCCGCCCCCCCTCTTTGTGTGCTCCATTTAATGAAGCCAACACCAGCCAAGACATGCCATGCCACCTGCTCGCTCCATGGACTACTAGCACCATGCTGTGGAGGTGAGGAAACTGCAAACGAAAAGAAAAACAGCTAAGCGAAACTAAATTAAAGATGAATGATGCAACTAAATGCTGCTGCTGCTGCTGCCGCTGGTGCTGCCGCTCACATTCCCGCCCAACGACTGGATCAGCTGCAGCAGAGTAGTGCGCATGGAGCCCACTTGATCCTCGGAAACAAGCAGCGAGCAGCTGGCATAGCCGCAGCGGAGGCAGTAATCGACCGCAAAGTTGGTCATGCACATCATGTGGCAACCAGCCTCGTACTCGTAGCGCTGCTGCAGACAGCGCCCCACCACTAGGGGAGATTGGTCGGCGCCCAACAAAACGCGCACACGGTCCCACAACTGGCGGGCCAACTCGTCATTGTAATGATCCCGCGAATCGTAGTGGACGCACTTTCGATCGGGTCGGGATAGCATCAACAGTGACCAGTGTCCTTTGCGGATGAGTGGCATTAGAATGAAATTCTTCGACTCCAGGTCCAGTTCACGTATCATGGTGCGCAGAAGACGTGGCTCCATGTTGCGCAGACATTGAACTGTGGTGGGTGAGAGGAATGCCACTTCCGATGCCACCGTCTTGAACCGCCGGAATTGTAGATAGGCGTAGTAGAAGGTGACCAGACGCTCGCCGAGAGGATAGGGTCCTTGCAGCTGACGTATATCGGAGGTGCGGAGCACGCGCTCCTGAAAATGTAGAGCCACCGGATCATTTTGGATATTATTGATGTTACTTATTTCGGCTCTGTTTGGGCCATAGCTGATTCTGCTGTTGCTGCTCTTGCTGCTCTTGCTGGAACTGAGACTGCTCTTGCTCTTATTGCTGCTCTTGTTGGTGCTGGCCTTGTCCTGGCCCTTGCCCTTGCCCTTGCTCTTGCTTTTGCTATTGTTATTGTTGTTATTGTTATTGTGGGGTCCATCGCCATAGGCGCCAGCATTTCTCTCCAACTTGTTCACATTTAGGTTCGATTGGGAAGCGGCTGTGCTCTCCGTGGACTTCGTGGACTTGGTGGACTTCGCCATCTTGGCAGTCCCCTTGAACACCCTGATGCTGTTGCAAATACCGGACATCGAGAATTTGTCTGTTTTGTGGGTGAATACGATTTGTGTTTTATTTGCGAAACTAATTAAAATAGGTCAGTGCATATAAATTTGAGTAGATGTGAGTGATGTGTTTATGATTGAAATATCAAAGATTCTATTCACAAATATTAACTTGCGTTAGATAGGGTCGCTTTCTCTTAAGTCAGCGATTGGGACTGATAAAAGCTTAATCCAAAAAATAATTCCGAAATAAACTAGAGTCTGTTTTATCTGAATTGTTGAGCAACCATTTTATTGATGTTTATTTCTATGCACTTTGCCTATTTTAACAAATTATAAAAGATTCTGAAAAGCAAAAACGTCTCAAAAACTAAAAAGTTAAAACTTATGCTATAATTAAAAATATTGCTTGTCTATAGTATACACATCAAAGAGAAATAGTGGTGTCGATAATGTTTCTAGATGCTGCTAGCACTATTTAGGTTGTTGGGTAAGGCCTAAAAATACTACCAGGCTGAGTATAAGCCAACCAGGGAGGCAAAAGAATGCAAAGCAAAAGTTATGCTCCGTCCGTGAAGTCCAAACTATGTCTAAGTGTCAAGCTAGAAAGGACATCTTGCCTTGCAAAACAAGTTACAAACTAATTTGCTTGAGAAACTAATTTCTGCATCGTGTGGGGGTGGACTGGGGCTGGCTAGTTCAAGCTGCGTTTCCTGCACTGTTTATACTTATGTTTATTAATCTTTTTTGAAGACTTTAGAAACGCATTTAATTAAAAGTAGCTTACACACACAAACATTTTGCAACAAATATTTAAGATTGGCTACCAAAACAGACAGCTTACAGCCTCATTATGCATACTCGTATTTGTATTCCTATGTTTGCATATTATTAGCATTTTTTATTGGCACAACAATTCTTATTTTCACAAAAATGCATTATATTTATTTTGCAACTTCACCGGAAATAATTCCACAATAATTTATTAGCGCTTAATTAATACCGCAATTAAATTTCCACAATGCCTATTCGCAAATAATGTGGCTAAGCTGCAAGTTTTCCACAAATGCATTAATGTTCTGTAAATACATACATATATACATAGTATATATGGATTTTACACTAATTCATTCACTCTTCCATTTATTCTATTTGTACACCGAATATTCAATTCACTTAAAAAAACAAGAATGTATTGCCACATTTTAAAAGAAATAAATGTTCTAAGGGAGACCCGAAATAGTCGCTTCTCTCCGCTTTTTGTTATAGTGAACTACAAGTATTTTGTAATTTGTGGAAAGCCTGTTTAAGCTGAAACGGGAATATACGATACCGAAACTGCTAATCTTAAGGGAATAGCAGGAAGGGAATCACAACTTTCGATAGGACTTTAGATTGTTGTGAGGAACTTTTAAATACCTATAAATGCCAATTGGATAGGTCTTATAGCAGCTATACAAGTATTAACTAATGCTCTGTGTATGAATAAAAGTCTACTACATAGATGCCTAAGTAAATAAAGTCATTAATGAAGGCGACTGCATTCAGCTCTTATCGTTCATAACATTTGCAATTATGAATAATTCTAAGTATAGTAAACACGAGCATATGATTGGCTCTCTGGTATTCAAATAGCATTTGTATTGTGCAGTAATAATGAATTAAGTAGTTACCAATTGATAGCAATTGGCAATTGTCTAAAGTTAGTACTTTTTGCACTGACGGAGTCGCTCCTGCGTTTGTTTTAAAGCCACAATCAATTGTTGTAAGTATTTATTGTGCATTTTCAAAGTAAATATGTACAACAATCGGGCGTTGTATACGTAGCCGATATTTGTGCAACGATTTTAATGCCAAGCCCAAAAAACAACACCAACAACGACAACAACAAGAACACCTACAATAAATACAATGCACACACACACACCTGAACACGTGGTGGAAGATACAAACAATCAGGCATGTTAATTCAGTTATGCGCTGCCTTTTGCAATGGAGAAGAGCGAACGAAGAGTTTTTAATTATGTTGATTTTGCGCTGATTTAATTTCATGTGCTTGTCCCACCTGCCCACCAGCCGTCCCTCAATCCCTCAACCAGGCATGCCTGGTTGGCTAGCTGTTGGATGGTTGGTTGGTTGGTTGGCTGGCTTGCTGGCTGGCTGGCTGGATTGCTGGCTCGCTGGCTGACTGGCTGAATGTTTTTTAAGTTTTCTTGCTCGTTCACCCAAAAACCAAATGGAATTTAATTTAATCCTTTGAAAAAATAATTGGGGTGCCTGCCCCCACCAACCTGGACGCCAACGCCAGCGCCAGAACTCGCAAAAGCAAAGGCAAATTATAAAAGTGCTTTGGCGAAAAATTTGTGCCATGTCTCTCCCCACCTCCGCCACCATCGAATGGCTCCACTTGAATAGAATAGGAAAACTTCAAAAGCTGCTATTCAAATGCCACACACACAACACTCTCACACACACACACACACACACACGGTGTGCGTTTTGAACGCTTTTCATGGCACGTTTTAGTTAATGTTACACCATTTGGTTTAATTACTTTTTTGCCTTGCCTTGTCTCGCCTGGCCCGGTCCGGCCTGGCCCGGGCCGCCCACTTGCATTTTGCGCGTTTTTCTAGCGTTTTAAACAGCTTAATTAAATATGAGAAATTTCTCGCTTGCACAGTTCATTTGTTCACTCACAGCCTCGTCCTCACCCTCACCCTCATCCCCACATCCTACCACAGCCCCTCAGCTCGTCTGACAAATCCTTTAAAAATTCATCATTTTTGTAAAGCTGATAAACGACCGCAGCGCACTATTTTGATGGCTCTCAATTATGTAACATAATTCGTTTACCTTTTTTCTCTCCGGCTGTCGGTTGCTGTTAATGGCATCATTGTATTTCATTTAAATAAATGTGGGCTGAACAATTGCGAAATTTATCAACACAACTGGCCCAGTGGGCCAGAACGAGTAAAAGCCAAGGGGCGTAAATACATATATGCTTGACAAAGCAGTGCCTTAAATAAAATAATACCTATTATGTTATTTCCATGTATGTACTAGAGTACTAGTTCTAGTGAGTCTATACTTGTAATTATCTATTTTTGCACAGGGATTATTCAACTATAAATAAAGTATCCTAATAAATCAAAATGACATCATCTGGCTCATTATTTCAAGCACTAATTGCGTCTCTAGTTCTTCGTCCAGTTCAGCGCGATATATGGTATTTGACTCGACAAGTTTCGTTTTATTTCAACTAAAGGTTTTTAGTGAAAAAACCTAAGAATTATAGTGGCTTACAGCACATCAGAAAAACCGTTTGGAACTGCTTACCGAATACAACAATTTACACCCAACAATTTTGCGATACTAACCCCTGTATCAACACCTTTTTTTACATCTTCCCCGAGACTCCCCATTATTAATAATATTATTAAAAGGAATTGGTGATTGGGAAGACACCTAATTCTTAACCAACCCCTTGAAGTTCACAATTTAAATGTTTATATAGGACAAGGATCTTGTTAACTGCTTTGAAATAATTGTACAAATAATTACAGAAATTGAATTCCTAAGAGAAATAATAATATTCGCCGTTTGTTTTTTTTTTTTTGCACAGTTTATTATTGTTATAAAGCGCCACTAATCCTATAAGGATCTTCGGCATAAATATGTATTACAAGTATTTTTATTTATATTGTACCATCAACATTCATATGATTTTAAAGCCTTAATAATTATGCGTACACAAAGTTAAAGCACGATCCATGCGATCAACCTATACAGCGAAGGGAGCACGACGAGTGCAATAAAGGATCCGTTAACGCTGAGCGGCGCAAACATTGCAGTCGTCGTTGCTTTACAAGTATTTAAGGGAACATTGGGCACGTCCACGAATTATAAAGCTTTGGATTGCCTAAAAACAATATATTTAAAAAAATAATAAAAAAAAAAACCTGAAACGCGACGCCGAAGCGAACACGAAGCGTTGCGTCACATAAACGAACTCCATTTAGAATCAATCAGTGCGGTTATACAAATATGATTTAAAATTAGGCTGGCAAAAACAGGGGCCTTAAACTAAGGACTTAGGACTACTACAGAACACCCGAAATGATGGACAAAACGTGGATTGGAAAACAGGAGATACAATAAAATAAAGACAGCAAACAATACGTCCTATCACTGGGATGCCCAAGAGGTAGGGACGCATCCGAGCTTATCACATTAAAAAGCGTCAACTACGTATTAAGAAAACAAAAACAGTTACAATTCAATCAGGACACACATACAAAAACATACTAAAAGCCGCGTTCGCGTTTTAACTTGCGTTGTATACTAAAAAAAAGAAAAGGGCTAATTTCTTTAAAATCTGGCTAGAGCTGCAAATAGTGCGAAACGGTTCTCCATCAATAGTTAGTTTAAAGGTTCCTTTAAAATTCCAATTCAGTAGGTTTTGGACCAGACAGTGAGAAAGAAGAGGAGCGCAAATAAATTAAAACAGCTAACCATATTTGTGCATCTAAGTAGAGGTCTCCTCGTAGCCATTGTGGACATAGCCAGTGGCCAGTGAGCCGCTCACTGCCGGCGACTTGGCCAGCAAGTCCACCCCATTCGGAAGCGCACCAACACCACTAGTGCCGTTGGCGCTCGGATGATCACAGCTGTCTAGAATTCGCTCGAAGACCGCCTCGAAGCGACAGCAGTTGATGGCGAAGCGCACGGGCCTCTCAAAGCTGGCTGCCATGTCGCGCACAGCCACAAAGAGTTCGGAGAGCAGGGGAAGCCTCTTCAGATCGGCAGCGCCCGCATTGTCCGCAGCTATCTCAACGGGACGCACCTTGACCAGGAAGTGCATGCTGTGCGTGTAATGCTGCAGGTCACAGACCTTGTGCAGCTGCGCCTCCACCAGACGGGCCAGCGTCGTCTGCTGCTCGGGCGTACAATAGCAGGTCACACTGTAGTAACCACCGTACTGCGCCTTCAGCTGTGCCGGACTGCTGCTGGTCACGATCTGGCCATCCTTGAGCACCGCCACGCGCTGGCACAGGTGCTCGATCTCGGATATGGAGTGGGATGTCAGCACGATGGCGCGTCTGGCCTCCAGCAGTTCGTGGATGGTGCGGTAGACGTACGCTCGGGTCACCGGATCCATGTCGCTGGTGGGCTCATCCATCAGAACGGTGGGTGTGTAGCCACAACAGGTAATGGCCACGGTTAGTTTCCTTCGATTGCCACCACTCAGATTCTTGACCTGGACATGACGATACTTGCTCAGCTCGTACAGGTCCAGGATGTTTTCGACCAGCTGGGGAAGATTCTTTATGCCGCGTAGCTTGCCATAGAAGAGAATACATTCGGTCACGGTCAACAGAGGGTCCAAAGGATTACTTTGGGGGCAGTAGGAGATGCTTGGCTGCAAGAAATTACAAATAAAATAAATATATTCAAACAGCATTTAAGGTTGAAGGTTGTGTTATCTCAATTGTAGTTCTTTTTATTCCTTTGCAAGATTTCTCGATTTTTCTGTTCAATAAGTATGGCATTATGAACCCAGACCTTACGTTAATGTTTAATTGAATTAGAGGATTTGAATTTATTTCATATTTATGTTAATTGCATAGAAAAGATTGCACTTTAATGGCTTATTTAAAAATAAATAAGCAAAGCTTTCTTCACATCCATTTGAGGTTAGTAACTTAAAATGAGGAGTATAGTGAGGTATAAGGTTGCTAAACAACTCAGTCTATATCAGCCTTTATAGCGTAAAAGTTACTAATTAGAAGCCATATTCAATAACATCTTAAACTATTTCAATAATGAACAAATATATTTTTCAAAACCCCTTGAAGGTTTTGTAAAGTGTGGTCTAAAAATCGAAAAGACAGATCCAATTACTTACATGCTCATAATAAATCTCCCCTACATTGGGCTCCAGCTGTCGTGTAAGCATTTTGAAGATGGTCGATTTGCCAGCTCCATTCTTGCCTAGAAGGCCAAAGCACTCGCCTCTCTGGACCCCAAAGTGCACATTTCGCACCGCATAGCGACCTCGGCAATAGGCCAGACAAAGATTATCTACGCGCAGTGCCTCACTGTTGCTCTCAGGACTCTTGAAGATGCTTTGAATGGACACGAGCTTCAGTTGGCCCAACTTGCGCAGCTCCTGTTTGTACTGCCAGTCGATGGTGCGGACTATGTGGAGCCACAGACGCTGCAGGACGTGGCACTCGATAAGTACATTGAGCAACACGCCTATCACCCCTAATAGGCCGAGGGCAACAAAGTGTCGTTGCAGAAGATCACTGAACACGGGATTCTTATAGGAGTTGATGTCGTAACGCCGGAATATCAGAGCGACCTGATAGTTCTTGGTGATCTCAAGTAGACCGTCGCCTAAGGCATGTTGTGGAAAGACAAGGAATGCATGGTTAAGGGCATGACGCCACTCGTCCCACACTGGACCCTCGCCCACCACTCCCAGGATAAGTATGATGCCCATAGTGACTAGTGGTATAATGATATTCGCGCAGAAAATGGATACAATGGAGATGCTGGAATCGCTAAAGACCTTCTCAAACACATGCACGGCCGGCACACAAGCAAAGCTGCAATCAGATACAAAAAGGGCATTTAAGAAGGATGTAGCTCCACAAGTTTTCGAAAAGGTGGACTCTCATAAAGACAAAACGATGTCGATATTGTATTGCGTGAGACCTTCTTCAATATCTCACCTGAACATCATGGAGAGCGCAATAATGCCACTCAGCTGCTGGCGATCCACAAAGACTGGCATGCCAAAGACCAGCACAATGCTCAGACAAACACCTAGTGCGACCATCATGATCAGGTAATCCCAGATGAAGGCCACCAGCCAGTAGTTGATCGCACTCACACCACTCAGACGCTGCTGCAGCTTCTCGCCATTCACCCGCTCGTTCACCAGATAGACCGAGGCGGAAGCCACTACCAGACCAAAGGCAATAAGTAATATGAAGACCATGCAGGAGTCACCCGCCTGTCGGAGCACCGATGTTGTGCTCAGCTCTGCAAAGCCAAGTTTCCAGGGCTCGTTGCGAACGGTTATGCTGTAGTCTGTGTCGTTCACAGTGGTGCGTAGCAGTTGCGTGTTAAGGCCATTCAACCAAGCCATCATGGCATGGTATCCCTTGTTGTTGTACCATACTGTGGCACCACTGCCATTCAGTCCATAGCCGCCATACCGCCGACCTCGATACTCTGGCAGGCTGGTCAGTATCCAACTGAAGGCCTGTCGTGAATTGGTAAACTCATGGCAATCGAAACCAGTCTCATTGTCCGGCCCAGCATCGCTGCAAGACGATTTCAAATTCTCATAGAGTGCGCCAGTGAAGTCCGTTGGACGCTCTAAGCTGAGCATTTGCGTTGTACGTGGATAGAGGGCACGACTTAGTGGCAGTACCGTATCAAAGTCATCCTCAAGGCGATAGCTGACAAACCACATGGCACAAATCTCAAAGATGGCAGGCAGGAGCAGCACGTACAGGAGCAGCCGATAGTTGCGTGTGAAGTGACGCAGACGCTTACCGAAGAGCTGACACATTTGCCCCAGACTCGAAAGCGGTTCATCCTCCAAGTCCTGTTGCCCAGCCACAATGCTTGCCGTCTGCGCATGCGCACCATTCTGCGTGCTCAAGCCATTGGAGTGCTCACCACCACGATTCAACTGTTCGAACTCCTGCTCCAAGCTATTGCTACTAAGTGCAATATCACCCAAGAGGTTGGCCGCCTCCTGTTGCTGCACATATTCGAGGAACTGCACGGCGCCCGGTGTGAGATTCTGCTCGTAGCTGGCGCTGACACACAAGTTGTGCGGCTCCTTTGGCGTCAGCATTTGGCTTTGGCTAAGCAGTTGCTGTGCCTGCAGCGCAACGGCCGTAGACGTAATCGCATCTCCACAGCGCATGGACACCGTATAGTCTGAGGTGCAAATTCGCTGAACTGCGTCTCGATTATGCTGCGCCAGAATGCGACCCTATACATAGAAGGACAGTGGATAGATTGGAATAATGCACGAATCGGGCCATCAAGAAGCACTGCAGTGCACTTACATTGCGCATGACGACCACCATATCGCTTAGATGCTTGGCCTCATCCAGAAAGTGTGTGGCAAAAATGACGGCACGACCCACTCGCAGACGTTCGATCAGTTGCCAGATATCCTTGCGTGCTTTGGCATCAACTCCGTTGCACGGCTCATCCAGAATAACCACGCTGGGCGAGGCTAAAAGCACAGGTATTGGAATAGACGGGCGAAATATAGTAGAATGCTGAGACTCACCGATAAAGGCAATGGCAACACACAAACGACGCTTATATCCGCCAGATAGCTGATAGGCACGGTAGCTCTCATGCTTGCCAAAATTTAGGCTTCTGAGCGTTCTCTGCACCTCATCTTCATCATTATGCAGCAGCTTAATCTTGGCATACAGCTGCAGATGCTCCCGAGCCGTCAGATTCGGTATGAGGATATTATCCTGCCAGCAAACGCCGACATTGTCTTCGGGCGAGGCAAGCAGCACCTTCCCCATGCTCTGCATGCACTGTCCGGTGAGCAGCTTTATGATCGTACTCTTGCCGGCCCCATTACGGCCCAGCAGACATGTGACCTGATTGCGCGCAAAATCCAGACTGAAGTTTGAAACTGCAAACTTCTCGCCATACATCTTGCTCACGTTGCTCAGCGAGGCGCCCAGCTTATCGTCCAGGTGCTCCCGCGTCACCTTAACGAAGCTGTAATGAGCTAAGAGTTAGGTAGGAGAGAGAGCACAATCGTTAGCGTTCGAGTATATAGTACGATGTGAATGAAAATGAAAAACTAGCTACCCACTTTTCTTGCAGCGTTTATAGGCATATCCAATAGCCGCATACAAAAGCATGTCCACAACAAACATGAATATGGCCAGAGCGCACTCACTACCGGACAGTCCACGGTGGAACAACTCAGCAAATGTGAGTCCTTGCTGCTGAAGCTCCATCCGCATAATCTCGCTCCAACCCTTCGAGAAGGCCGTCGTGAAGCTCAGATTGATGATAATGTTCTGAAGCAAGCTCATCTTGGTATCGAACAGCAGCACAATAATATAGGGGCACAAGGTAATGAAGAATAGGAGCGCCGTAGCGACCGCTCCGATGTTGGCAGCCGTAAAGAAATTGGAGCACATATAGCTGTGGAGCAGAGAGAAAGTCCGATTGGCCATTGACTCCGAACAAGTGCTTTGTATGAGAATCGCAGAGCGAGGAAGGACACTTACCAGAATGAAATCAAGCATGCGCCAAAAATCATGCAATATAACATCATGAAGAGCCAATTCGTGTACACCATTATGCCGCCACTGTATAATACAATGCTGACGAGCACAAAGATGGCGCATAGCTCGGCAAAAGTCATCAAGGTCCAGGCAATAACCTCTGAGTGGGCATGCAGACCCATCGAGCGCATTAGCTTCAAAGCAAAATATTCAGAATTATGTAAAGCTAGGCTAACCAACTGATTACCCACCATGCTATTATGACTCTCCCGCATCCAGATGCGTTCCCGTACACAGATCGCAACGGCAACGATCAGGGCCAGACAGAAGGCGACCTGAACTGCCTGCGCTAAATACAAGCCACGCTTGAAACTATGGGAATGACATTTTCTAAAAAATTTCTAACACTCAGAAAAGTTGAAGCAACTCACACGTCGTTCTCATAGGCTGGGTAGGGGAACTGTTTGGTATAGAAGCGCATGTCGTCTACTTCGAACTTGATGGCTTTGGGTGAGGAATGAATGAAGCTATTAAGTATACTGAGCAGACCCTGGCGCTTCACACGATCCAGCACTCTTTCACTTTGTTGCTGTGGTTTTTGCTGTCGCACATCAGCATCGCCTAGAAGCAGCAACTCCGGCTGGATATCCGACGGGAGTTGCGTGGTCGTCATGTGCTTCGTACTGTCTGTGCTTGTCTCCCGGGTTTCTGTTGCTATCGTTGTGGGCAGTTGGGTGGCACCCTCTTCGTTTGTCGTTGTCGTTGACGTCGTCGTCTGTTCGACTGACTCCTCGTCGAACTCTAGCCGTGAGGTTTTTGTATTTGTATCCCAGCCGGATCCAAAGAAATCATCACCACTACCCTCCAGACTCAAGTCGTCATCATCCACCCGCTCTACTTTAATGGTATTGCGTTGTGGCTCCGTGAGCGGATCATCTGCGCCGATTCCCAGCTCCTTCTGCTTATGTTTGATTATGCCCAGATCGACCATCTGCATCAACTGGACAAAGCCACGATGGTACTTGAGATCGACCAGCATACTGTCCGCCGGACCCGGAAACCAGAAGCGATTCTGGTTCTCGAACGTGGGCTGTGTATTGTCCGTGTCCATGTGTATTCTATAGGCCACGCTCTTGCCAGCAACCTTCTCGAATCGCAGGGCGCCGAAGAAGAGGCGCTTCTGGTTCAGTTCATAGGCGCGTTGGACCAACTCCTTCTCATTTGAGACAGGCTCAAAGCGATCCACGGACAGGCACTCCACTATGTTGCTCAAGGTTGTCATAATCTCATAGATCAGCTTGTTGGTGCGTACATAGTCAAAGGCACGTTCGATCTCAGCTATATCGAAGTCATCACCCGCCAAGCTCTTCACCAGGGGCGAACGAGCCAGCCTGAGAAGATTATCAAACTCGGCCTGGAAGGTCACATTCGTTCGCAGCTTGGTCAACGTCATGGCTGCTGCCGCTATTAGATTTTTGAACCGATCCATTTCCTCAAAGGTGGCATTGGTCTACAGAAGGGAAGGATCACTTAGGTCCTATGGTCGCCCAGTAATAAACGCTGAGGGTAAGTGATACTTACGAACTTGATTATTGATTCGGTGTCCGCATCAGGTGGCGTATAGAGTATTTTTCCCTGAATAATAGGCTTGATCGTATTCCATGTTAGCTTGCCCTGGTTCGTTGATGTCACATCCAGATACAAGCGCTTACAGTATTTGGCTGGAAAAGCAGCATAATAGATAATGCATCAGAGGATTTAAATATCATTAATTCATGTGCTCACTTGGCCGCCAGTCTGGCGTAGTGACGTGACGGCGACGACGGTGGTCTGAAAATCGATACGAGCCACAACAACCAACACCATACAACGTAACACACAATAAGTTAGTAACGGGCACAGAGAACGAGAAGAGACTTTGGTTCCATTTACTCACTTGGCATTGCATCGAGTTCGTCGTCATTTACTTCGCTGAAGTCCTCCGAATATAGAATATCGTTGACCAGCGGAATGCTCTCAGTGCTGGGAAAGGGATGGCCGCACAGCAACTTTCCAAACTTGACGAACGTTTCGCGATCTTCGGGGAACGAAGGATAGCAACAATTTAGTTCCTCCTTGGACGCAAAAGCGACACAAACTTACTCGAAAACAATCGTGTAATATCAAAGCTATAGTTCATCATCTTTTCAATCCTCGGTACCAATGCAATCATGGCACTCACATTACCTTCATAGAAGAAATAAGGGGCATGGAAAATAATTAGGAATTCTTCATTGTTAAGCTTCAAGGACCATTCTCACCGCGTATAGAGTCCAGATGATCGCTGGTAATAAATGCGGTCACAGCGCTAATAAAATTCGCCTTCTCCGGGAGGTCCACAAGGGCTTTATACAGACGTTCATCCGTTACCAGAATGTTGATTATATCGATGGCAGGATTCAGGCTGCAAGTATTTCAAAGACTTCATATATGCTATGCATACAATTTGTAATTCCTTCGGATCTCTTACGGTGCATCTTTCCATAACGAATACTCTTCATATTCCCTGGTACTGAGACATTTGTTCTCCAAGCTGCATATATAGGAGAAGGCGCTGGGCACAACTTGATTTTTTGTGGGCAGCAATCGGGTGGGAAACTGACACTCCTCAACATGCTCGGAGCCATACTTCAGGCGAATGATGTAGAGCAGCATAAAGATGAGAATGGGCCAACCGAGCAGCGTCAGGGTTAGACACTTCTGGCGCCATCTTACGAGAATATCCTTGCGAAGAAGCGCTTTTATCTCGCTACATCTGTAAGATGGCATTTTGTTTCGATTCCTGCGCAGCCGGTGCGCCTTTATTGGACAGGATGCGTGAGACTGCTACTCAAGAATTTCTTAATCAGTTCGATTTTGTAATAGGAAGCTTATCTAACAAGCCAATCATAAAATCCTGTTATGTTTTCATCTTTGTGTTGGGTTTTGTTCTGGAAGATAACAACAATTTGGCACACATTTATACAAGCTAGAATTTATATAAGCTGTTGGATTTGTTAAAGTAAACTAACAAAAATAGAGATAAGCAATTAAATATAAACAATAAATAGTAAATCCTAATCTTAAATGAGAATCTAATTCAGATCTTTTTAGAGAGAGATTCCAAAAGGGAAAAATAGTGCAGTTGCTGATATGACTTTGCTGATGTAAAAATTGTCTATTTATACATTTTTATTGCTCTGATTAATACTATTTATGCGACACAATTGAATTCTCGCATTTTTTCAAATGCTGGTTATATCCCAGGTCCATAGCTCAACGATCTTTGTTATAAATCTTTTGGCGATTATCCAAATACATATAGTATGTGCGATAGATACGTGTAATCAGTGTAAGCAAAGACATTTTTTCAATAACAACGAGTGATATCAAGCAAGATGCATCTGAACAACAAAGATGCACATGGAATTGTTATTGTTGTAACGATTAATATCGATATATGGCTATGATCTTTTATAGTAATTACGCGATTTGGTCCGAAATTTGTACTTCGTTTCCCCATTTCCGTCAAGAGATCTGCAAGACTTTTGTAATTCTATTGGAAGAGCTGAACGTCAAATGCGGCGAAAACTTCAACAGCAGACCCATGTGATCGGTTCGTTGCTCTTTTGCTAGCATGTTCAGGCAGTCACCAACTTCTTAGTTAGCTTAAGGACGACTACCACAATATAACTACAATATAACTACACCAACAACATATGATTGACCAGCATCGTAAAGAGATGATCAGAAAAAGTCCCCTTGCATAAAGCAGACAAAAAGACGCTGAAAACAAACGCCACTTTATTGGAGAAGAAAGATGAAAGTATTCTCTCTTTCTGATCGGAAAAGATTATATGACCCTAACCTTATCATATGAGATGCGTTAGGGGCCCATATAACAAGTATATAACATTGCTTCCAAATTGAATCTCGGAATAGAATAATTAATAAAATATGTAAATGGGAATATTTCGCGCAATTGGAATTTATTATTGTTTTCCTATAATAATAAATGATTTATGATAACATTTTCAAAAAATGTACTTTATACCTACTTATGATCTGGCTTCTTATGTGAGAGTTTGTCTAACGAATTTCCGACCATACTAGTATTTTGAAAGATTTATTGCGGTTTTGTTAATGTTTGCTTAACAGTTGCTCATTTGTTTGCCTACTTGCCTGTTTGGATTTGAAGTCTTAGTCATATTTAATATAGCAGTAGTACGAGTACATCGCGTTTAGTTTTCTTTTGTTTAACTTGTCATATCTAGTTGGTGTTTGCTCTGATCTGTGTGTGCGTTGCTTGTGTGTGTGTGTGTGTGTGTGTGTGTGTGTGTGAGTGCGAATCGCTAATTCATATCCGTTATTATAACTCACGGGCAGTAGTTTGCCTTGAATTGCAAATGCATCGGATGGCGGCAGTATTCAATATTCGATGCGCAAGCGCCCGGCTACAAGAGGCGTTCGAGCACTTTATATGATAAGATATTTACGTGTATAATTGTCGTCATTGCAATTATTTTGCGCATTTTGTTGTAATTGGAATTAAATGATTGGCGGTGCATTTACCGGCGGCACTAGCAGCATTGTCAAGCTTTGAGTCATTGACACAGCCAATAATAATACATATATGTACATACCTATAAATTATATATACATACAAGTATATCGGGGTATGTCGGAGTACGTTGCCAGCCAATAGATCATACCACTTGCCGCAGTTCAGTAAACAACTGAAGCCTTGCCATTTATTTCTTTCTCTGCTGTGTTCAATTATTAATATAATACTTCTCTCTTGCATAAATTTAACTTGAAATTAAAATTCCAGAGGCGTTTACATACTTGTTGGGACTAACTTTAAAGCTACAAGAAATTGCTGGTATCCATAAACAACTTTTGAACAGATTGCTCATTGTTATAGCCTGTACCCAAAGGGTGAAAGGCTATACTAGTTTTGTGCGAATGTATACATACAGAAGGAGGCGTGGCAGACCCCACGAAGTGCATATATTATTGATCAGGATGACAAGTCGAGTCGATATAGCCATGTCCGTCTGTCCGTCCGTCCGTCCGTCTGTCTGTCTGTATGAACGCAAGGATCTCAGAAAGTATAAGAGCTAGAATAACCAAACTTGGTATACAGATTCTCCTGAGCCCGAGAAAGGACGAGTTTGTCCATTTTTTCCGATAATTAAATTAATTTAATTTCTTTTTTTGTGGGGTGGTACAGGGTATTTAAGAGTTGAGCCTGCTCGACTTTAGCATTCCTTTCTTGTTTTTTTTAATTTTCTTAATTTTTTTTTGTTTTCTATAATTATTGTAAACATATGTACAGAGTATTTCAAAGTCGGGACACCCGACTTTAGCTTTTTTACTTGTTTTTTACTGCATACAAGCACGCATGGACACGATTCTGATGTAAATCTATGCTGTTGAAATTGTGCATAAAGTCTAATGTCTGTATGCATGTGTAAAATATTTTATACTTAATTAAATTAATTAATTACATTTTTTTAATTTTTATTTTATTTTTTTTTAATTTATGTTTTTTGTTTGTGGGGTGGTACAGGGTATTTAAGAGTTGAGCCCGCTCGACTTTAGCATTCCTTTCTTGTATTGTATTACAATTATACTGAGAATAATCCCAACTCTAATTGCGACGCAACGAAAATTTCCTCTATAAGTAGCATTTCTCAGCTATGTAAGCCCTTTTTGGATGCCATGACATGCTTTTTGTAGTAATTCTAAAATTGTTTACAAGTTGAACCCGCAAACCCTTTAACGGACTGGCCTTCAATATGATCAGACCTATTGGAAGGCAACTGTTTAAGGAGTCATTAATTATTCTTGTGCGGTGCGTTCTAGCCAGCACGCTTTAAAAAATGTCAAGTACAAGTTCGAGCCAATAACAATAAAATAAGAAACTATTTGCCGGCGTGATCACTGTCTTAGCCACCCGATCCACTACCAGAACAAAGCAAGAGAGTTAAAAGTTGTGATGAAAACCGGTTAAATAAAATCTTTTATGTATGTATGCATAAGTATGCAAAGCTTGACTTGTGACTTTTGATTTCAGTTTATGGGGGGCTTTTTGTTATCTTCATGTACGACTATAGTCTAGCATTAATAAAAAAAAAGACGCAGATACAAAGACCTTTGCATAGCCAGTTAAATGGGCTGGACCGTCGCGTCGGTGCGCATGTCCATGAGTCTTACTTAGCCAGCTGTTGAAGTTGCAAGTCAACCACATCAGTTATTGAGAAAATCTCATCAATACTCGTACAAGCAAAGAAATATGAAACATTACATACATTTTGTTTGGTCTGTGTGCACAATATTTCTGTGTCAAGACTACAGACCGTCTCAATGATTACTTACATACATACATACATACTCGTACATAAGTATGTGCATATACTTACTGTACTCGTATGTGTGTACTTATAAGTGTGAATTCAGCGAAACTTATGACCGCCTTTGAAGTTCTAAGCCACCAATGCTTCATCGAACACAAGCTATTTATAGAGAGATAACACAGTATGCTCTAGTTTTCTTCATATACTCGTACTATATTATTGATAGATCTGTGTAAAAGTCAATTAAGTCGACCAACAGATAGTACAGATTACTAAAATAGCAACTTATTATATTTATAAATAATTTGACCGATTAGATGACATAGAACATTCTCCAATAAATAGCACGCACATTTTAATTCAGATGTAGGACCCATTTGGAAATTAAATTCGAGTTAAATTAATAAATTTGCTTTGAAACTGGTCCACAACCCAATCTCTTTCTCCAGACAGTATAATATTTGTTAATTTTAATTTAAAATAACCAAACCATTTGCCATTACTTTTTCTTTTAAAAACCGAATCAGTTTGAAATGTTAATGGGCTCGATATTAATTTTTTTTAAGCTGCATTTGAAGCCCGTTGTTTGAACGCTTAGCAGTTGTACAAATAATTTGCATAGACGGCCTTACCAGTTTTTACAATACGTATTTAAATATATAACATGTTATTTCTACAACAAGAAATACCAGACTTCATTAAATATATGGCTGAATAAAATGCATCATGGCCACAGAACAATGAATTCATATACTTCTGAGTGTAAGCAAATGGTTTGCATATAGCTGCTAATCGGATATATATATTATGTATTTGTCTGTATATTTCAATTGCAAAAAAACAAACCTCATTCTATTCAAAAGAGTCTTGAAATCGAAACAGAATTGTTTAGTGTTCGAAAGTGATCGAATGAGTGTTGGAAACGCTGCTAATTAATTATCCAATTAGGTTTGAGTTTATCTCTTCAGCTAACACGGCATATGTGTACGTAGATAGCAATCGATTGGCATGAAACGTTTAATTTTTGGATTTTTGTTTCTAGCGCTTTTAATGATCTCTCGTGGCAGACGATCATGACCTTGTTTAGTTACAAAACTAAATAAATATGGCACTAAAAGCGAATGTTCTCCGAACGATCGGTAATTACGTAGCAGTAGTAGCGACTAGCGCTAACACATTAATCGGGTCCGATTCGTCAGACGACTTCTTATCACTTCCATTGGCAAATTCAAGCTGAGAGCATGTACGCGTCTACGATAGACTCCTGCCTGCCTGCCTGCCTGCCTCCATCTTTTCTGTTGCCCCTTCGTTTGAGGGGGGATGGGTTATCAGTGCGAGAATCTGCGTTGATAATTACAAGGAAAATTACAAGCAACTGCTGTCAGTTCGCAAGTCTGTCTGTGTCTGTTCTGGCTGTCAGTTCTGTCTGTCGTCGCGTCGGCTCGAAATCACAAACGTGTTTACACGCATCACAACAACAACAACAACAATAGCAGCAGCAGCAGCAGCAGTTACAGCAACAAGCTTGCAATAAAATGCATGCAAAGTACACGTTCACACTGCAATCAGGTCTGAGCTGTGACGGAACCCAC